AGCATTACCCTTATCTGGTTTTGGTGGGCCGCAGCTGCACACAGAGAAAGATCCAAGACCATTATTCATTAAATTCTTATTCTTTGTAGGTATATTTTGAGGATACAGCCTAATATTGTTCTGAGAGTATTTGTTCTTCCCATACCTTTACAAGAAGAAGGTTGTGGAATTTTGTTATAGCTTTTTTTTAATCTTAGCTATTGATTTCACAATTTAAATTTCTTGTAAATCTTTGACAGCTGTTATTTTGTGGCTTTAATTTTCTCAATCTATTTTAATACTTAGCCTGCACAGCACTTGGTACATGATTACAGCCTGGTCATTTTGCAGTCTTTGGCTGTTTCCAAAGAATGTGTTTAGGGACTCTGTTGGTTACTGAAGCATCTCTTCTTCCCTTTTCTCATTCTCCCCTTCTCTGTGGTAATGCAGTAGGACATAAAATTAAATGGGGATTAGAATTTCATGAGAAGTGGTATTTTAAATGGAGCTGCACTTGATTCATTTATGCTTTAAAGAAAAGAGCATAAGGCAAGGGAAAAACTGCTAGTTAAAGTATTAAAATCTACCAGGGGCATGGTATTTCCTTTAACTTCCAAAACACCTATCAAGTCAAAGATGAGTGAAAATAGATGTTGTCTGTTCCCTCAGGGTCTCACTTGGAGCTATCTTAGTTTCATACCACCTCTGTGTATGGAAAGGTTGTCCAAGCATTATAAATGCATTGGTTTGGTTCCCATAGACTTGAAATGCCTCTTTAAAACAAAAGCTCACCACTGCCATTTAGGTGCTTTTTAGTTTGGCTAAGATGACAGCTAATACTGATTTCTGGTAGTTGGAACTGTAAACTGTTACTGAAATGCTGTCTTTTTCCTGATACAGTTCTGTCATGCCCCCCTTCCCCAGCACAATTCATCTTGTGTCGTGGTTTGAAAGACAGATGTCTGCTAAGGAAGGCAGGAACTTCCCTTTGAATGGGGAATATGACCCCCTTCCCTCCAAATTATTGTAACTTGGAAATTGATGGGCTTTCAGGCAAAGATGTAGGAAAAGGAATAACAGTTCCTTACTGGTATGTGTGTGTATAACAAGGCAAACAACAGCAATGGCAGCAGCAACAAACAAAAAACCCAAATAACAAAGAAAACAAACCCCAGAAAACCCAATAAAGTCTCTTTAAGCCCCTTCCCCTCTCTGCAGTTCTGGGCACGGCCGGCAGGGACACTCCTGCATACACTGATAAATTTGAGTTGAGAATTCCTGTGGTACCTCACAGGCAGAATTAAGCAACAGTTCTCAAAGTTTGTGAGAATAACAGAAGGTGAACGACTTGGTAATTCTCCTCTGTTTCCTGTCTCAAACAGTTAGTGCTTTTCAGCACAAATGCAGCTAGTTCCATCAGCAGTCTGACACCTGAATTTTTTGTTCATAATGAATCTAGAAAGTTCAAATACTATTTAGGGAAGTAATATTTAAGTGAATGTATTTATTTCTTCTCATTTCTCTCTCCCTCCAGCCTTCTCTCCTGCCTTGCTGTGTTCTCTACTTATGCAGATGATAGAAATTAGTTTTCCAAGGTGGGAACAGGCCAGCACTATGCTATGGAACTCCTAAGAGTTCCTGAAGAGGAAGGTGGGGTCTGTTGTGGCACACCTAATGCTCCAGTGGCAGTGTTTGTAGTGTGTGTGATGTGTGTGAGCCAGCCCTGTGCTCCAGAGCACACATAAGGGAGCTGTTGGGGCAGGCCATGGTCTGTACTGAACTTTCAAATGACCCACAGCAGTATTCCCAGGAACCTGTGCTCTCTGTGCAACCCAGAGCAAATAGAAGTCACATTTATGCCAACATTACCACTCTCGTGATCTCAGCAGACCAATTGTCTGGAGGAGACACTTGTGGTGTGGACCTGCAAGCACAGCCAACCCCTCCACTTTCCTGCTCGCTTCTCCCATGGAGCCTGGAGTTCTGCTTGCAATCTGCAATGATGCTGTTGCTGCATCCCATAGGCACTTCCCTGCTCTTGCAAGCTTGAGTATTCCTTCCATACACAGTGTAAGTTTTGCAGTTTCAAGGATCTCATCTAATAATAGGTTGGTCTACATTTGTGGCATTGCCAGAAAAAGGCATATGTTGTCAGGCAGTCAAAGTCAGCAGCAGTGCTTAAGTGGAAATGTGCTTAAACATTGAGAAGGCAGAAATCCAAAATAATCCATCCAAGATTTGGCTATTAGGAAACTAAAAATACTGTCTTCCTACATATATGGTTTCCACATGTACTCAGAGAAATACCATTTCCCTGATATCTCAAAATTATTAAAGGGCAATTCTTTTCCTGTCTTGGCTTTGGTGCGATAATAGAAGATGCTGTTGGCATTCAGCTTATCGAAGACTGGTTGAAGAGGAAATTGAAATTATTGAAATAACTTGAATGGAAGAGGCATGTGTAGTGTAATGTGGGAGAGAGAGATGACACTGAGTTCCTTTTTCCTATCACACAAGGTCTGCAATTCCAATTTTTCATGTTTAGATTTCCTCTGGGAAAAGAATGCATCACTGTCTTGAACTAAGTGAATGTATACTGCAAGAACCACTGGTCTTCTCTGTGCTGGTGAAAGACTTCACTTTTAAAATCAGATGGCCCTGTGGTCCTGACCTTTTACAGAACTGCTCTGAGTTGAGGATTGGGCTTTGAGATGATATCTGGAGATATGAGGTTTTGACATGAGTTCTGAGGCAGCAATTACAGGATTTCATGTGTATATATCCCTTAAACATCAGCATATTCAGATGTATGCCTAGAAACTGGCATCTGTCACAATCATTCTTCTGCTGGGGTCAGTGTGTGAGCACAGATACATATTACTGTTCTAGTAAGAAAGTCTTCCATAAATGCCATTGCATATCAGCAAAGGTTAGGTTTTTAATATTAATGTTTGCTCCTTTAGGACCTCTGGTTTCTCCCTAGTCAGCATGCATGTGACTCGGTCAGGCAGTAGTAGCAAAAAGTTTTATTTCAATGACTTCTTTAGGGAATTCATCCACTGTAACCAATATTTCTGCCTCTTGGAACCCACCTAAAGCAGCATCCCAAAATTTCTTTTTTTCCCAGCTTGTATTAGCCCTTGCACTGGTAGCAGTCTCGTGCAGTTTAGAAGCGACAGTAAAAAATTGAGCTGCTGCTATTTTCTGCTTCTTTTGGCACTATTCCTGGAGAGAGTTGAGTGTGTGGCTGTCATAGCAGCTATTACCAATGACACAAAATAATTAAGTTGTGGTTTCTATTGTGGTGGGGCCACGTCTGTATTTTATAATGATATGTCTGTGCCAGGAGGGAGTGTTATGCTTGATTGTTGTGATGGATGCTTCCAGAAAAACAGGACAGGTCTCTAAAGGCAGGTTGTCAAATACATTCCATGTACATGAAATCCTCATGGTTACATGGCAGACCACTAATTGAACTGTGTGTTGTTTCCCCTCAGTTTTCTGATGAGGTGACAAGGAGGGCAGCATCCATCTCATTTTTCTCCCTGTTGCTTTTGGAAGGGACAGCTGCTATGTTTGTTCTTTTCAGCTAGCCAAAAGAACTCTGGAGCTAGATTTTCATATGATTCTTTATGGTGTGAATGCTTTCATTTTTTCATACCTTGAGCCACCAGTATGGGGTTCCAGACTTTCAGAAATCTTGAAGATTTTAGGACACGGATGCTCAGCAGTGCTGAGAAGCCCTGGTAGTCCCTGGTTCTTGAATCCTGCTGAACTGTGCTTCATGCAGAAATTACACTGAAGATGCTGTGAAATTTGGGGGCCTTGAGAGCAATCTCTCTTTTTCCAGTATTTTCTGTAGGTTGTCTCAGATAAATGTGAGAGTATCGTAGTGTAACTACTAACAACTAGTGAAATCCTGCTCTTTGCTTCTTAGAGACACATGCTCTTCCTGCTGCACCCAATTTAGAGGGAAAAATTTCTCCTACTCTTAAGCAACAAACACAGTCAGTCCATGTGCTCTGGCATTCTCCTGGAGGGGCTGGGAGGATGCTGGCCAGCACTGTGCTGATGCTCTGCTGAAGGTGAGCATGAGCTTGCAAAATGTCATGTTAACCTTCTTGCCACTGCTGGGGACCAGCTAGGTAGAAGCTGGGTTTTTTTCAGTAGATGTTCAGTACATATGTTGGTGTGTCAGGGGAAAAAAAAACCTTTTCAACTATATGTGGTCTTAAGGCTGACGTTTTTATTGTTTGTGTGTTTGCAGTGGAAGGGAATGGGACTCCATGTCACACTTGATTTGTATCTCCTGTTAGAGGTGACATTGTTAAATGGTGAGCAAGCTGGGGGTGCTGCACTGCGGAAGATGGAGCAGAGCAGAGGCCACAGGGGATCAGGCAGGGGGAGAGCCCAGCCTTGTGTCCATTGTCTTGGTGGCTGCTATCATTCTTCTTCAACAGGAGCACCCCAGGAAGGGGGAAGGACCAGCACAGGAAATTGGGATGCTGTCTGCTGATGGCAAAAGCCTCTGAAGGAGCAAGGGATACTGGGGCTGGGTTGAGAGGTTAGATGTCAAACCTTGATAAGACAAGAAACTTCAGTGTGCAAAAAGGTGCATGCGTGAACCATGGAAGTGCTTTTGGATGGTGCTGGAGTGAGCAGTCAGTGAGCAAAGTTTTTTGCCCTCTGTCAGTGCAACACAGCAGCTCCTGGATGTGATGGGAAGCCTTAAGGGATATGGTAATTAAGAAAAGTAACTAAAAACTACGTAATAAAAATAATAGGAGTTTTAGCAGCTTCATTGTGCATAGGCAGGCATCAGGGAATATGGGTCACACAGTATGAGCTAGCCAGAAATAAAATCCAGGTCTGTTAATGCCTCAGGCCTCTCCATAAACATCAGACTGTGACTCCTTCCTTCAGCACAGCTTGGCTGGGAAAGGACTTCCATTTTAGGTGAAAGAAGAGGCTCTGCTCAGCACAGGTGCTAATCATGTTCTTCTGCTGTTTGCCTTTGCCAGGTGCAAGTTTTTCAGCCTCACAGAAACCCCTGAGGACTACACCATCATTGTGGATGAAGAGGGCTTCCTAGGTAAGTGTCAGCATGTGCCACTTTGGTATCCAGCTTTTGGGGATGGACGAGGAAAATGTGTCATCTCACTGAGCCTGTAAACCAAAATGTTTGTAAAACAAGTCTGTTTGTCAGTGCTGGTAGTACAGCTCTGAAGTGTGCTTTGATCACTTAAGCGCACTGTCTCTGCTGCCATGCTGTACAAGGCAATTCAGACATGGAATATGAATATATTTGAATGCTGGGAGAGGATCACACGCAAGTCTTAAAAAGTAGTTTAAGCAGTTTTGAAAAAAGCAAAACCGTCTGTGTATGAATGCATTAAAATGAGCTGGCCTGTGTCCCTAAACCTCCATAAGTACACCACATCTTGCATTTCCAGCTTCTGTCAACCTGTCTGTTTGAAAGGAGCACTTGAAGATGAATAGTTTGTGTCATCCCTACAGCCAGCACAATGCTGTGGAGTTGTGACTCAGCTCCTTTGGCTCATTGCTGTAAGCTGTGATTTATCCCCCTTTCTTACACCCAGCTCTCCCTGTACCAAGTGTGCCATCTTTGCCTGGGGTGGCTGAAAGGGTCCAAGGTGGAGCTGATTGTATGTCACAAAAGGTGGCTGGCATGTGCTTGAGAGCTGTAGATTCTTGGCATTGTGCAAGAGGTGATGTCGAGAATGGTTTGGATTTGTAGATGGAAATAGTTTGTAATAACCTTTATCATGTGTGGAGGTTTTGTTTCTAACAGTGATATTGAGGTGGGGGCATGAGGAAGTGTTGGGCAGCTGTTACTATTTAGTTGCTCTTTCTGTGTTTGGGATTAAAAGTCTACATATTTTGAGGTCAGAGAAAGATCACCTTCCAAGCAGAGCATGGGAAGGAGGGAGCATGCTAAGGCCATGCTCTGCTCCAGTGTGGTGTGGAAGCCAGGTGCAAAACCCAGCCTGAGTTTTAGCGTCACAAAGCTGCTGGCTTTATCACCTTTTCTGTGCTTTCCCTTGTGAGTGGTGATCTGCTGGTGAGACCTGCATACACCACATCCTGCTGACTCTCCTACCACACCCCCCATACCCTTTGGGTTTGTGTCCAGCCCATGTTCTTCTTTCTGAGCTGTTGCCACCGCAGCCAAAGCTTCATCTCAGGGTTAGCCCTGTGTGCAGTTTCATCTCTGCTCCTCAATTCAGTGTGGTGGAAGTTTTTCATAGTCTGGCAAGTCCAGGAGAAGTTACAGTCGAGTTAGAAATGTCTAAGCTAGAGAAAGTTCACTTTTCCATTGTATAGCCTGTAATCAGCACATGGGCTTGAACCCATGAATCAAAATCTCTGAGTTGCAGCATCCCACCTTCTTGCAAAACAGCACCAATTACGTCTGCCTTGAGTGCATCAGCTGCCTCTTGTCCTGAGTACTGAAGTGCCAAATTCAGCTCAAGAATTACAGGGTAAAATTGCACCTTTGATGAGCAGTTCGGATAGCAAGTCCAAGAGTAAATTACTTCCTTTTTCTTTCCAGGTAACTTTTTTCTTGCAGTGCTTGACAAACTCAATGTAAGTCTCTGAAGGACAGGTTTTTCTGTGTGGAGAATGAGAACCTTTCTTTCTCAGGCACCTGTATGAATTTTTAATGCAGCAGCAATGAGAAGGTTGTCCTGTTAGCTGGCATCTTCCATGTTAACCAGGTCCTTTTTCCTGCACATTACAAATACTGATGATGGGAAAAGAACAGGCTGGAGAAATACGGGCACTTTCATCAATTCCTGAGGTTAACACTTAAAACATACTGACATGCAGAAATCATTCTTAACTGTTTTGTCAAAAAATAATCCCTAGGCTTGTTCCACTGAGAGCAGTGAGTTGGGCTGGTAAAGAAGTCATTATTTCTTCTCCCCAGAAAATGTCCACAGTGCAAATCTGTAACCTGCTTAAGCATTCATCGTGCTGAAAGGGAACGGCTACAGCCTAAATCTTGGCTTTAATTCCCTGGTGGTGAGGTGGGGATTATATTTGCACAGAACCTTGTTTGTTCCAGTGACTGTTTCTTGGGCTTTGGCCTGCTAAGAAGGAAGAATTTAATTCAGCAAATAACACAGGGAACTGTGCACAGAAAGCTCTTTTCCTGGCTGATACTGGAATGAACTAGCAGGAAAAGTTTGGCCATGGGGCCCCCTGCATGAAGAGAAATGTCTCACTAACAGGGTGCTTGGATAGCCATGGATGGTCCTGGCATTTATCCCCCTGCTGCACAGCCAGCACATGGCAGAAAGGTGGAGTGGCTGCTACTCCCTGAAATATAGGAATATTTGTTTGGCTGGTTTGCTTCTTTCCCCAAAGTTTGGCTGAAAGCAGGAGCTGTTTGTGCATGTGCAGATGTGCCATAGCCCCGGTGTGCTCTGCATAGTCTGGTCCTTTTTCAGAGAGCTGCAAGGACAGACTCACTGTCTCTGGGCATGACCAGAGCTTCCAGCCTGTGGTCTTGCTGCTCCCAGTGGTCTCTGTTCATCAAAGATTTTAGCTTTTACACACTGAAAGGAAACACATGCAATCACACCTGGAGGTAGTCATCATCTTAGAAACCCAGTTCACTGTGTTATCTGGGAATATTCACTGGGAATATCTGCATAAATGGGGCCTGGGACAGTCTGTCACCCAGGTGAAGCTGTCCTGAAGATGGATCATTGTAAAGGAACATGTTGCTAGCATTTTCAAGGTGAGGTTACTGGCTTCCCAACCTTGGCACTTGGTTGGTGTCCCTTGTGTGCACTCTTTCATGTATGCATAAAGTTTGAAGATATTGAAGAAGGGAAAAAGGAAAAAAAAGAAGTGCTAGGGTCAAGTGAATCACTGTGATTTTCAAATTGGTAAATGTGCATATTCTAGGTTCAGGGAAATTTGGGGTGAGGGAAACACCCATCATCTTCATGTGCTCTGGTTCTTCTTTCTCCTAGAATTGGTAATCTGATTAGCCCATTTCAGGTAGATAACTGCAGTCAGCAGACCTTACATCCTGGCTGATCTCTTCTGGATCAGAACCAGAGAGGAAAAGCTATTTCATTTCAGTTCAGAAGCAGCAGTGAAAAATGTCCTTCTGAGGTGCAGATCCACTGTGTGAGCACACAGAGCAAAACTCTTGGTCTCCTCACACTGAGGTTGATCTGAAAGATGGGCATTAGAGTCCTTCCTTAAACCTTTGGCTGCCTGATATGGCTAGTAATTTCTCTAAGGCCAGAAATCCATTCGTTGACACATTTTCTAGGAGATTCTTAGTCTCAGCTCATACTTCACTGTAGTCCAGTACATGAAAAATAATGGCACTATCTGAAGAATCTCAGCTAGTTACCATGGCAGAAAAATTTTCATTCTAATAAGAAATGGATTTAAAAAAAAAAAAATCTTGCTGGCAGTGCTTTATTTTGATAACCATCATCATCAGACAGCCCTGTCTAACCTTGGATTCAGGACCATCACATACTTTAGTACCACACTGAGTTCCTGTTTCAATAACATCAAAATGGTAAATTGCTTTCAGTGTCCTCTCTCTTTTCCTGTATATATTCTGGGTGAGAAAACAGCTCATTTATAAGTCCAAGCACAGAACCCATCCAGCTAGGAGCAATCTTTATTTAAAGATACAGAGGGAAGCAAGCTAAAATTGCATCTGGTTTTCTGAGTATTCCTTCTATAACTATTTTTTCTTTAATTTTTAATTGCCCACTGACTAGGCCTTTGTATCTGAGGCACAGTGGCATAAGTTGCTTGCTGACATTTTTAGTGCTGGATTCCTCCCCCGGATGGCCAGGAGAGCCTGTGGTTGCTAGGCAGAACATGTTTTTCTCTACTAAACACTTGTACAATCACTCTCTTCTGATCTCTGTATTGGCTAGACTATGCTTTGTCTGGGGCTTTTAGGTTTTTAAGTAATGTGGTATTAATGACCTAAATTCAAATTAAAATGTGGGGATTTGAGTATTGCCTTATAAATATGTGCTTGGTTGGGGAGGCTTTTCCTGCAATATATCTCTGCTGATACAGATCAATAAACATTTCGGGGGTCTGTGATTACATGGGATTTCTGCCCTCTCCCAGGAAGCAGTAGGGTTTGGTGGTTTCAGCTTTTGGCAGAAGGGAGGAAAATGAGAAATATTCCAAGGTCTGCTGTGCATCACATAGGGAAAGGAGCACTTTGTCTTCTTCTTAGAGCTTGTATGTGAGTGGGTTTGCAAATTTTGACAGCATATATTATTCCTTATGTTTGTAACCTGCCACATAAAGTCTTTTGGTTCAGTTTCTCTGCTCCTATTTAAAGAAGTACTGCATAAATAATACGTAATTTTCGCTGGCTCCTCCAGCAGATGGGTGTGTATTGATATCTATTTTTATTTCACAGCCTGTGGTGAGAAAGCCAAGACTCCTCTTCCTGAACCACTTGACTGGCCATGATTTCTTCCTTTAAATTTATTACATCTTGGCTGCTTCCTAGTACTTCCCAAAGCCCAAGATAAATGAGCAGATAGATACTAGGGCTCATTTTTATCAACATCTCTCATAAATGCAGGACCTACAGAGCTTTCCTGACTGAAACAATGGAACAGTTCATTGAAATTTTAGGTTGCTCTCTACAATCAGGATGCAGCTCCACAGAAAGGTACCAGCCCCTCCTTATTTTTTTCTTCACTAGAGATCATTTGATCATCTGCTTGTTCTTCCACTGGTGCATTTCTGGTTTTTTCTCAAGGGTGGGCTTAAGGGGAGAGCGTGGCTTGCCTTGTTTGTACTGGAGCTGGCTGCAGTCTGCCAGCTCTGAGGAGACACACCAGGGTGCTATATGTGCCAGGAAGGGCCAAGGCTGAACACATGCTCTAAGACCTTTTGAAACATTTATATATTGTAAGTGCTGGTAAGACTGTGATTTCTCATCTTTCCCTGTTTTAAGTGAATTTTTTATTGGGGCACCTTGTGAGACATGGGTCCAAGTGCTGTTGCCCCCTGAGAAATGAAGCACAAGGAAAGCTGAGGGATCAGTGGTACAAGCAG